ATTTTTAAGTCTTTATTTTACTATCTAACACTTTTTACATCTGTATTTATTAGTAAGGTAGTACCTAAGTAAGTAAGTACAAACGTCCAAGCGTCTTCTGCCCCAGAACCCTCACCCTTACTTCTACGTTTTGCATCATACTGGTTTACGCTATTGCGCTTTTTTTGCTATCGCACAGAGTTATCAACGTTTATAGCGATCTATTTAAATATTTATATTTTTGAACGAAAGTAAAATCGCGATGATTTATTAAAAGTCATGGAACAAAAGTTGTTGTTCATAATGTTTGTAATATAGTCCTGAGAGGTTGTTAGTTTTTAAAAAATAACCCTGTATAATAATCATATACAAAAAATTCTAAACTGAAAGCAAGTATGTCACACGAGATAAAGAATACTCTGTATATGAGTTCTATATCCTCATTTATCAAGTTTTGTTTCGTTCAATACAATGTGTTTACCTAATTTTCAACCTCCGGTTTTCTGTACCCGCCTGTAGTACGTCTCAATTGTACAAATTGGCTTCAATTAACTATCCAGTCTCCACAATTGCTACGAGTCTGTTTCGAGGAAATGTCTTAAGCTTTGGTAATCCTTTCCATGAACTTGTTGATTAAAATAGAAACAGAGTAAGAAATAGTGTCAGGACTAACAAAAGCGAGGCACCGAAAAATATGTGACTCAGGAACATGAACAAATTTAGACATTTTTAAACACTACATAGATATCGTCCATATTTTTCAATTATTTTTGGGTTTTTCTGAAATTGCAAGTAGATATAAGTTAATTTATTTATATATTTTGCACAGCATTACAGTAAATTACCAAGACACTGTGAAATTTAAGACTAGATAATATTAATTAATAGTAATTCACAGATGATAGTCGCTCATTCATCCTTTCACAAAACTTCAAACATACATCACACACAGCCAGCCATCTACTTATAAAAACATCGCATTCTGGTGCAGATACAAGAAGCGCATTCAAACTGCAGAACGCGAACAAGTGGTAATTTACTGTGTGACAGCGCGTAGCAGTAGATAGTGACCACGTGGCCGCAGATTAAATTTATTTAGAGGGGGACGAACAGGCGCAGCAGTTAACTCACTTATTCTAGGCATTCAGAATCTACTCTCAAGATTCTACCAGCGATATCCAGCTGACCATAATATTACGTCTACACATACTCTAAATTTATTAAGGCATTAAGAAACAGGTGGACCGACGATCTGGTGGAGGTCGCGGGAAGCCGATGGATGCGGGCAGCGCAGAACCGATAGTCGTGGAGATCGTTGGGGGAGGCCTATGCCCAGCAGTGGGCGTCGTATGGCTGAATGATGATGATGATGATGATGATTAAGAAATGACATAAGTAGACCTACATTTAAAATATACAGCGACAAAGATGATACATAGTCTAAATTTATTGAGGCATTAACAAATGATATAGTTTAGCCGTGGTAGCCTAATGGTTTGACCTACTGCTTCTCTAGCAGCGGGTCGTGGGGTCGAACACGAGCTTACACCTCTGAGTGTTTTGAAATTTATGTGCGAAATTAAATTGAAATTGATCATGTGTTTTTCGGTGAAGAAAAACATCGTGAGGAAACCTGCACACGGTGTACAGCCCAAGCCCTCTCATTGTGAAAAGAGGCCTGAGCCCAGCAGTGGGACTATATATAGGATAACTATATACAGTGACAAAGGTTTCATATTTATTATAGGATTCCTATCCGCTGCGTAAAAAAAAATTCTCCTAATTAATCAAAACAAATTTAGTACCACTCGCTTTCTCTAAATACCACCCTGCTCATTTGTAGTATCATGGGCAATAATCGGCAAGTACCTTACGCCAATTGGCAAATCCTTTCACCACAATGGCAAGCATTATAGTGTACCGATACCTCCAATGAACACCACGCTATTTTTAATTTTTAGTCGTTTTCAGTTATTTTTGACACAGCCATATTTATTTACTAATATTATGCTCCCCGAATTTTGTGAAAACAAAAATACAGAAACAAAACAAAATTCGAAATAAATAAAAAATAAAAGAACGAATTTTGTGAAAATAAAAATATAGAAACAAAAAAACAAAATAAAACAGAACAGGTCCAAAAGTTCATTGGAGGTACCGGTATGCCCATCGATACGATAGAAGAAGTATCTGATACACGTGGTTTCATGATTACTTGAGCCGTTTTTTTAAAGTTATGGTGTGTTTTTAGTTTGTATATTATTTAAAGGTTTATGTTATTTATTCCTAAACTAACTATTGTATCCGTTATAATTCTTATAATGCAATGTTAAATTTCTTAAACAAATAAGAATTACAAAATCCTAACTATGTAATTGCAAGAGTTATTAAAAACATTGTAAGCAAGCCGGAATAACTACCCGTGTTGTATTTTTTTCACACACACATATGCTTCACGCCCTTTTACCAACGGGGTAGGCAGAGGCAACAGCCTTCAACACGATTTATAGTATAAACCAATATAGTATGTTATATTCTCGTTTTTTTAATTTATTTTTTAAAACATCAAGTGACGGGACGAACAAATGCAGCTGTTGGCAAGCTACACGCCTGTCCGTAACAGTTGCAGTGCCACTCAGAGCTTTAAATCGCAAAGATATGAGGGACACTACCACTGCGCCCGTCACCATGAGACATAAGTCGACAAGTCCCATGTGCTATGTAATTTCATCAGCACCCTTATCGTCCAAAACCGGAATACAATAAAGCTGACGTTACTGCTTGGCGGCAGAAATAGGTAAGGTTGCCACCTTACCTTGTTCTGCCGTCAAGCAGTAACGTCCAGGGAAGTACGGCAGTACTTCCCTGGATGGAACTCTTTCACAAGGAGCTGCTACTAATAAATAAACTTTATTCGCAATAAGATCCATACATTTCTTTTTAATTTCACAATGTGTTTTCTCAATTCCACAATATTTGATATTATGTTCGATATGCAGTTGCACACAAAACATCTGAATGTACTCAACCCAAATGTATCGAACAGCTGATATTATACTCGCAATTTCAAAGGGGTTGCCTTAGTAAAAAGTGTTCAGCTTGAAGGGTAGAGTCATTTCCTAAAAATTTCGCAGACCTTTAATGGTCATGCTGTATATTACTGTGACATCCACTTAATCTGTAAGCAATACTTAGACAACGTTTTCACAATGAAATTAAGTGGGTAGGTATACATAAATATTCAAGCACTTTCCCTGTACGGGCACCCAACGCATACTAACATTGTAGCACATGATGGTCAAGTCCGTAATCACTCAATTTTCTAATGTAGCCAAGAACAAAGCAACTATGGACGGGTGCATTAGTATGCAGAGGCGGTAACTTACGGGACTGTGTGTAGCATTGTCGGGTATAGGTCGGTCTTTGATCCCTTGATAAGGGGAAAGTAGAATTTGTACAATGGTATATATAAAAAAAAATTCTCTGTAACCTTCGACATAAACAACAAATAGTTGTTTACGTGCATAATAAACGGTAGTCTTAAGTACTTAATGTATGTGATAGTTGTATAGGTACTTAGGCGATAAAATAATATCACAATTGGTACTTGATATGTTGACAATATTGAACATAAAGTAAGCAGATTTTTTTTATAATAATAATAACGCGCACACACTCATAGTCCCGCACTAGGGGAACCCTGTATCGCGGGTGCCGTGGACACACACATAGACAACTACAAATTACACCCAAACTCACGAGAGAAATAAATAGATAGATAGATAGATAGATAGATAATTCGTTTATTTGCCGAAACACAGTACATTAAGGTAATGTAGGCCATATAAATATTTCTCCCGGCCCGGGTATCGAAACCGAGACCTCTGCGTGGCAGTCCCGTTCGGCCACAGAAGCAGTAATTAAATATGAATTACAAACTCAAAGCAACATTTTTTTTATTAATTCTCATTTGATGGAAAGTGACGATGAGGTCAACGATAGAGCATGCGCACCTCAATAATGCCTATTCACTATCGACTTGAAAAGGCTCAGGTTTTAGCTCTCAGGGAATAAGTTTACAGGCAGGGAATTCCACTCCATAGCCGTTTGCCATATAAATATGGAAGTGTGATGTAAATCTTTTGAATATCCACAACATAGTGGTGGAATCCCAGACTGGACCTAGTCCCCGATGCTGGAAAGGGGGAGGCGGAATTTAATCATGCAATTCCGTCGCACATTGTTTAGTTTGTCGAAGTTTCTGTTGAAGTTCAGTCGATGCAAGGGCGAAACAACGAGCTATGTCTGCACGTTACTTGGTCTAATGCAATCGTAAAGTTTGTTAGTCTTTTATTTTGTTCCGCTATTCTTAGCTAAATACGTATGTTCTTGGAATGCAAGCATATAATAAATATTCACTCTCGAACTCGCGGATACCAAACACGAATTGTGTTTATTGGTGAATATTTTCTAGTGTTTTTATCTATTGATTCGTTTGTTTTTAAATACTGACATAAGAGTTGTCTATTATCTTAAATATTATCCAGGACAAAGCAAGGTAGTGTGATTGAATAACAAACATTGAAATTTTCTCATTTGCATTATGTACATTGGTCTAAATGTAAGAAAAATATCGGGACAGCAGAAGTTGGTCAAATTTAATAAATAAATAAACGCAACACACTCACATAGCCTCGCACTAGGGAAACCCTATATCGCGGGTGCCATGGACACACACAAATTACACCCAAACTCACGAGAGAAATAAATGAAGGCCATACACATATTTCTCCCTGCCTGGGAATCGAACCCAGGAACTCTGCGTGACAGTCCAGCATGGTAACCGTTCGGCCACGGAGGCAGTGGCATTAAGTTTCAAGCACTAAAACCATAAAAATATAATAATCAACACTTTTATTCGTGTTTTATCGACTTCACAATAAAAAATAAACTAAAAATAAATAATCAAATAAATGCAATAACAATAAATACAATAAATTAGTTTGACTACAGTCTCATGACTAAGTTCTGCAATGGCACTTAACTGAGCAGAATTTTCTTATAACGAACTTGATGCGTCGTGTGTGCTCGCCCCTGAAAAAAATAAACAAAGTGTTGTTGACATACTATTTTAGTCCTCATGCAGTTACCTTTTAAAATTAATAGATTAAAACTAAGAATTCACCCTTCTTGTTAAATAAATAATAACAAATTTTGTTGTGCCGCAGAATAACACGCGAAATAATCATCATAAGAATTGTCATATTTTTAAACCGAAAAAAAAAAATGTCGAATTATGAAAAGAAGATCAAAAGTTCAACCAAACGCAAATCGACCTTATCGTAAAAAATAATAATTCCTTATTATATTATATGAGAAGATCGAAAATTAAACATTAGAATTTTCCATACAAATCTGTCGTCGCTGCAATACAAAAACTTATACTATTTCCGCTTGTACTATTATGCACCACCAAGCACCTTTTCTCACATTCTGCATAACAAATCGGGATAATTTACCTCACATAAAGTTAATGTTATATTAAACAACACTATTACTTAACTAGGTACCGTGTGTAACAATAACACGTGTCCTAGAGCTTAAGTAAAGCGAACCTTACAAACCTGAAGTAGGGTTGGAATTCGTACAGGTCATCGATTACTCTGGCAACGCGACACGTGACTCCGCAGATCGGTAGTTGCTTCTCGTATATTGCAATCGCTCGTTCGAGCACCTGGTGAGCTGACGTCAGCTCTATTACTGAAAGAATAGGACACATACACAAACCTTTAACAAATTCCAGCAGCTAATCATTGGCTGTCAACGATTGTCATAAACCGCTGACATATACAGGTGTCCCACAGCTATGGGACACTAGGAAATAGTTACAGGGTTAAGAGCACGTCAAGCTTGACACTTAAGATTTAAATTCAACTGTATGCCGCTTATGATGATAATAACGGTCCGAAGTACATAATGTCAAGCTTGACGTGCTCGTGACTGTACCTGCTTTAAATATTGGAGACAGGATGTGCTTGCTTCATGGAGACATTATTTTTAACCGACTTTAAAAAAAGGAGGAGGTCCTCAGTTCAACTGTATGCTTTTTATATGTATGTTACGCGATAACTGCGCGATAACGCAATAACGCGATAATGCATTTGTGAACCGATTATGATTCTTTTTTTGTTGGAAAGAGGGTAGCTCAGTAGTGGTCCTTAAAATATTCCATTTCTAAGGGTGGCAAACTAGGGGATGAATGACTTTTGAGGTCAGTTTTTTGTTTTTAAAAGTAAATAAGTAATACCGCATTCAAAGATTTAAAAATTGCTTGCCTCATCTGGTAATCGAATCAACCAAATGTGAAAAATGTTGTTTAGTCGATTATAATAAAGGGATTCACAATGTGCTACTTTTCAAAAACAATGATGATATTTTTTTTAGTCGTATTTCACAGCTATACTCTGTATGTGCGAAATTGTAATAAGAATAAGATACCGAGCTTTCCATTGCTTAAAATAATCACGTTACAATATAGGGCCGATATAAGTACAGAACACTTAGGTGTTTTTGAGATAGGTCGTAATTCTAAAGCCATCGAATAGTGTTCGTGCTTATAGTTAATTATTATATTGCAGTAAAACTGCATCTACACTCGTGGGCAAAAAAAAACGGCCACCTTTGATCTTTTTCCTCAGGGAACATAATATCATTGTTTTTTCCTCTCTGAAATAATTACAATACGAAAAATGTTTTATTCATTTAAATATATTACTGGCTTGATAGTTGATTGTTTCATTTATAAAAACATTCGTTTCAAATTAAAATTTATGACATAAAACCAACAAGACGAAATGGCGGGAACCTTTAGATATTTTTTTATGAATTAGCTCTTTTAATTGACGATTTTAAGTTATTGTACCATTGCTAAGCGGTTTCTACAGCTGACAAAACAATAATAGCTACCAAAATTATAGCACTGCTTGAAGAATCGGTGAGATATCATAAAGTACGGAGCTTGGTCACGGAGTGGAAATATACTCCGTGGGAATGACATTCTTTAGCACCATGATGTTTTGAGGTGCTGTTTGCACTCGTCCTTTCAGAATGTCCCAGACCACAAGAGGCCATGGAGTATATCCTCGACAGCATGCCTAGATAAACACAAGCTGTGATTATGACAAGAGGAAGCCACACTCATTACTAAATTGTTACCTTCCTTTATACTATTAAAAAAACAAAAATGTTTGAGTTTTTTCTATTACTTGACGATTAGTACCTACCTATTCTATTGGTGACTTAAACTTGAACGATATTTTCTCATTGACTTGAGAAAAAATTTGCTGAAACTACTTTCCGTATTGGAATTGGAATGGAATTATTCATAAAATTTTGAGGATACCTACTAGTTACTTAAATAATCAAAACTGCGTGACAGTGAAACAGCTTATTTTGTTAGGTGCCCGTTTTTTTTTTACAAAAGAGTGTAACTTAATTTGTTATGTATTAATGTCATTAAAAATCTTTTTTTCAAATCACGATACCACTACTGAAAATAGTTATCAAAATAAAAACCGAACTTGAAACTTGTGCCAAAATCTAATATAATACTGAAGAAAGTAACTCACCATTTCTGTCTCCAAACTTACGATCATCGTCGTCATTCCCACTAGGGCTGGCGTCCTTTTTGAAACTGATCAGTTTCGGGATCACCAGGAGCATGCACACCACGGCTATCATTGTTACGATCTTCTTAAAGATCAAAAATTTCAACAACAGTTTGGCAACTGTAAGTATATCAAGTTTCAAAGAAAGTTTATCGAGGAAACCAAATCCTGGAGCAGTGTAAGGTACGCCGTAAGTTGGTTTCAGAGGCGGGCCGTATACAGGTACTGGCTTGTGAGCTGGTGGTCCATAAGATTGAACGGGAGGCCCATAATTTTGCGCGGGAGATCCATAAGTTAGCGCGGGAGGTCCATAAGTTTGCGTCGGAGGTCCGTAAGTATTCGCGGGAGGTCCGTAGGTATTTATGGGTGGCCCATAAGTATTAGGAGGCGAGTTATATGTAATTTCCGGTTCAAATTTCACAGGCGGCCCATAACTCGAAGGCGGCAAATAACTATTCGATGACGATGGCCCAGAGAAACCTGACAATCCCGAGGAACTGAAACTTGTACTGTCACCTGAATGAGGTGGCGAATAATCATATCCAGAATAGCTGTCATCGCGATTCGATATCTTCTTCTCTCCATCTTTAGCAGTGACTATAATAACTCCTTGCTTCGCCTTCTCGGCCTCTATCCGTGATTTGGAATAGGCATCTAGATAAGAGTCAGTTTTCTGCTGTTTAGTTTTTGTGACATTTCCTGCCGGTCCTACAATAGCTGAGACGCACGCACATAGCGATAATATCACAACATAACGACGAAGAGCCATCTCGTATTGTTTGAGCTACGTCGGAAACCAGTTGCCTCCATCGACCGCGGTTGACGAATGACTGGCAGCCTCGACTCCCATTTGGTTTTCACTTTTAACTTACAGTAAAAGAGCCTAAATATGATAATGGAGCACAATTAAATTCTCAGAGTGGCCTGTACGTTCCGCATTGCTCAAAGTAAGTAGGTGCGCAGGCGTCGCCCCTCGCATGCTAATGCGCGTTAGCGACGCGCGCCCGTCGTAACCTCCTTGGAAGAGCCGCCCCAAACGCGACCTTTCATTCTACTCATATGGAAAAGTATAATAGAGTGCTCTATAATTTGCTTGAGAAAGTTTTATATATATCTTCATAAAGCCATCTTTCGTAAGAGTTTCTCTAAAGTGCCTATTGTTGCCCTTAATAGACCACCTTATTTGGAAGTTTACCTATGCTTTAATAATATACAGAGCGAGAGTACAAAACTTTATTTATTAGTATAAGTTATTGTCAAAAAACAACTTTCGAAATTGAAATATTCCAAAACACTTGAGCAAAAGCCAAGTCAATATTGTATTGTTACAAGCAAATCAGCATAAATTCTATTTACATTGTTGACGATTTCTCTGATCAGAAATGCGAATGGGTCACATTTTCACTTACAAATTCAAAAGGACAATATAATCTACGCAACTAAAACCTACTAAATAAGTAGAGATGTAAAAATTAAACACAACAGCAGTAAGTACAACACTAACACCGTAATACGCTTGTGATTTACACCTTAGTAGCAGTAGAGCTCTTTGTGAGCACTGCCACCTTGCTTATTTCTGCCGCCAAGCAATAATGTCAGCATTACTGTGTTCCAGTTTTGAAGGGTGCTGGTGAAATCACAGGTACAGTAGACACATGGGATTACAGGGAGCCAAGTGGCAGGAGTGCATGGGACTTGTCAACTTGTCTCAGGCGACGGGCACGGTGGCAGTGCCCCTCAGATCTTTGCAATTTAAAGCTCTTAGTGGCACTGCAACTGCTATGGACAGGCGTGTAGCTTAACATCAAGCGCACAACCTGTTCGTCCCGTCACTTGATATTATAAAAATAAAAAAGGAGCTTGGCGTGAATTTCTTGCTCTAGCTCTAGTATAACTTTAATTTTTAATGTGGCACTGTAATAAATATGAAAATTTACAATGTTGATAGACACTAGCAATCGTCCAAGTTGGACAACGCTCTTAGTGACAGCACGAAGAAGTAAATGATTCAACTATTATTAAACGAGTAGAACAACATCTACAATTAGATGGTTTGTTTACATCTGAAATATTGTAATGCTAATTAACAACTATAATTCCTAAGTATAGTTGGCGCAAACACCACAGAAAAACATTTTCTTTTTTTCAAATCATCATCATTTATTCGATAAACAATTTAAACTTACTTAATTATTCAAAAGTGTTGCCTATTCTCAAATACCGTTCTACGAAAAACTTATGGCGCTTTCTTTTTTTCTCTCCATTTTCATTTTTCACTGCAAAAAAGGAACTAATAGACTTAGTACCAGCTGCTTTCTTTGGTGTGGATTCATCAACCTCTTCGAAAGTGCAGGTAGCAGCTTTTTCTTGAAGCATTACTTCTGCAGTAGACCAACTGAATCTTACTATGAGAGGATATCCAAACACATTGTCTATTTGTTCGCGAATAAACTTCTTAGTCAATGGATCTGTGAAATAAATTAATAGAATGTCAATATTAGTTGAAGTATATACCGAAATAAAGATCAAATTGACAAGACAACACAAAATGTTGCGGCAATGTAGCAGAAATCTTTCCAAGACATATTTTTTTAAATCCTTCACTTAAATAGAATACTGGTAGTGATGAAAGAGACTAAGGCGTTTTATAAAGACTCGACTCCATTTTACAGGATTCGCCTCCATTTTACAGGACTAGACTCTAAAATTAAGACTGGAGGTTCTTGTTTTTATTAGTAAGACTCAGTTGTTATACCAAAAGATTTAAAAGACTCAAAAGACTTAAACGACTTAAACGACTCGAGTTGTTCGCAATTACCTTATACCTATTTTAATGATATGTTATTAAATTCGAATTTTATAAATAAAATTGACGTAGTATACATACTACGTTACGTGATTATTTACTGTAGTAATTACTTATAATAAAACTTAGGATTCAAAGAGTGGTTTAAGCAATAGGTACGAGATTTTAAGACCTAATTATGTAATGATTACATACAATACTTTTTCTGCAAGTAAATTAAAATAATGAAGTACAACCAATATTTAAAAGTCTATGGAAATCCAGTTCTAACGTGCTGTTTTTTTAATTTTGTGTAATATCGGTCTGTAACTACTTTTTAACCGACTTCAAAAAAAGGAGGAGGTTCTCAATTCGTCTGTATGTTTTTTTTTTACAGGACGATTTTTTAACCGGTGGTTAGGTTATCTTAATATTAAGTCCTGGTCCTTTTATTTAAACATCTTTAGAAACCCGTGCACAGTAGTGAGATACAATTTAACTGTAATACATAGAACAAATATATACGTAAAAATCTCGCCTGTCACCCATTCAGGGGTAGGCAGAGATTGTGGATCTCCATTTGATGCGTTCATAAATAGTATGTTTCATTCATCATTATAGGTCAAACGACAGTAATCCTGTTCTACCAAAGAGTTCCGCCTTTGTAACACAAAATATTTTTTTTATTACGTACATAATCGTAAAATAAATATCTTGTGGGTAGAAATAAAATCACGCCATACGGCTCATGAATCGCGACTCCCGAGGCTATAAGGCGCCAGTCGTTTTAGTCCTTTTAGTCCTATTAGTCTTTTAAGCTTCCTGGGGTTAAAAGACTTCGATTTGAATTAGTCTTCAGTTTTAGTTTTATGACTCAAGACTTGAGGGTTAAAAGACTAGACTAGTCGTGAGGCGTTAAAAGTGAGTCGAGGTTTTTTAAAAGGTCTTCAAAGACTGAGTCTCTTTCATCGCCAAATACTGGTAAATAGTGGAGTAACAAATCTTTTATTTAAAACAACAGTTAATTAATATAGCGCATTATTATGTGCTTTATTTATCAAGATAGTCACTTTTATCAAGATGATGAATTCTAGGAAACACACATAACTGTATTATGTTTCCAAATTGTAGTAAAAAAATGTGCTTCATTTACAGATGTTGGTTCTTGGAATAGAGATTAGAATTTACACAATAATATTCATGCTGTTATATAAACTGCTCCTTTAATCATAGGACACACGTTTTAAGACCTGATTGTATTCATGAAAACAAACAACTCTTTCATGAAGATTACTCTTAAATCGACAAAAAACTAAATCAGTTGATCTCTAGAAAACGTTCAAATCTACTTCAACAAACAAAGGGAGTTGTTTCCATACGTATGATAATTATTCGCACATTAAACCAAATACTGTTGTAATTCAAAATTGATAGAATTAAGAAAACACGATTTGAAAATTTGAAAAAAATACTGAATGAATTTTATTGCGAATAATGGGATTATTTTTATTTATACGTAATAATTAATTATCCTATTATAAAAATTATAAAAGAGAACATAAATTTATTGGATCCATTCAGTAACTTTTTCAACTTTCAAATGGTGTTTTATTAATTCTGCCAACTTATTACTTACAATTGTATTTTGTTTATATATATAGTACAATGCAATTGCGCAATTGCCCTCTAACTCACCTGATGGAAAGTGAAGTTGAGGTCGACGATGGAGTATGTACACCTAAATAATGCCTATTCACTCTCGCCTTGAAAAGGCCCAAGTTATAGCGTTCAGAGAACAAGCCTGCCGGCACAAAATTCCACTCCTGATCATACTGACCTCCTGGGTAGCCACTGCCAAATTCAGTATAGTCCATCTCCAGACCCTCTTTGAACATCCACACCTTGAGAGTATGGTCTCTCGTCACTTTCGCTACTATACTTGCCGCCGACACTATGGGGTATATTGAATCAGCCTTTTTTGCCACCTACAACAATATGCACACGCACAATTATGATGTAGTTTCTGGTCACGAAAAGTGGAATTCCATATCTGGATAACATAAAAGAAGTAGGAGTTGTGTCAGAATAAAGTGGCGTGGTCTATGCCTACCCCTCCTGTGAGACTAGGGCGTGAGCTTATGTAAAAAAAGAATAAAAAATTTGGCTGTACTCAGTATCTATAATGTACCATACAATATCATCAATGACCTGATTTCAAACTAGTTAATTCCCTGTATTACGAGTAGCACAGCAACACAACCCACAATCTATTCAAAAATGTTGGTTTTCAAATGATCCAACTGTGAATCAAATTCGAAACATTTGCATCAATCACCCATAGTGCATTATATTTAAATATATTAGATTTCTTCACAGTAATTAAAGTGGCAATTACGGGAATTAAACACAAAAGTCCAGACTCACTGTCACAGAGGAAATGAAACTATTTTGCCGGATTTAAATCGCGTATATTTGTTTTTGTTGTAAAACATAATGTAGCGTAAATTGGAATGTTTCCTTGTAAAATTAAAAATAAGGTATTTAATTAATAACTTTTGTAACTATAGTGAAAAAAATAGGATGGTTTGCATTAATATTAGATACTGGTTAGATAGATAACTGGTTGATGACTGTACCACCTCAGTCAACATGACCATGACCATGGGACCTGTAAAGGGCCCGAAACGTCGCTTTGTTTAAAAAAACAAATATGCGAGATTTAAATCCAGACAAATAATTTCATTTCCTATGTGTAACAATCGCGAAAACCTAAGAACTCACTATCACAACATTAGACATTTAAACCGTTTGGTTCAATATAATTATTCTGGTGCAACTGCATGCCGCAAGTTGCAACCATTTAACTATACTCACTTTATCCACTACTGCATTAAAAAGTTTTCTAATGTTAAAGCAGCTCTCCCAAAAAATTAAAAAAATAAGAATATGTGGCTTAGTAATATATGTAGAATCGCCCAGCATACAATTGAAGAATGCAAAAATTTTACCAACTGCTATGTCTTCAGCATGCCTTACCATCAGGGATGATAATTATCATGACTATTATCTTGATAAATATGCATTGATAATTATATTGATATTGATAAAATTAATTGGAACATTGTTGTCCCAAAGATTTTTCTTCATGTTTATTTAGTTTTTCACTTAGAAAATGAACCTATTTTTCTGGAATTAAATCGCATATATTTGTTTTTTTCAAACAAATCGACGTTTCACCGTGTTTGAGTCAACCGTGACCATGGGACCTGTAAAGGGCCCGAAACGTTGGTTACTATTACCTAATTACTTGATTACTATTTACTCACAGTAATTTTATAGCTAGGAAATATTTCACTAAGCTTAGCCTGATACTTCTCAGGTGGTCCCACTGTATCCACATACACTTCTGCAATATTCACCCCTGACTCTGCTACTCCTTTGATCAAGTCTATTGCAGAGTTCATTGATACCTGAAAAAATTCAAAAAACATATTGTCATGCCAGTCTCCTAGTGGAATAGGCAAAGCATAATTCTCTGCTTACTAAGAAAGGACTATTGTTTGATCATTCAACACTCACACTGGCATTCTTTTATTTCAATTTCATTCTAAAAAAATTATGTCACTTATTAATGGAATGTGGATTGGACACACTCTACATAGATAGCAGTTGCAGTACTTCTACTGTTGTATGACTGTTTAAACCAGGGTTCAAAGTGATAATTGTCATGATAATTCTCACTTGCTAAATATGCCTTGACATTTATAAAATTATTTTTTATTTTTTTTATTTATTTAATACTTTTACAAAAACTTAAACATATTACAAGCAGCTGTAGCTCAAAAACCACTAAGGGTTTATCTGTCCACAGCGATTCTCTCTAGCCAGTAAGTACTTCCTTAATTTATTTTTACATTTTCCTTCCACATATAGGTCTTGAATATACCCAGGCAAATTATTTAATAACTTAGGTATTATATACTCTAGTTTTCGAGTACCATACACATTATTTGTTTTAGGGAGTATATGTTTTCTTGTCTGTATGACTCTCAAATTATTTGGTCTCTGATATTCACATAATTTATGTACATAATTAAATTCAGCCAATGTTGAAAATTTTACTTTATCATAAACACTCATCACTTGACAATAACTAAATAACCCAACATCATTATCTATGTATCTAATTGGAACAATGAAATGTTAATGTTGCATGTCAATATGTCAATCTCCAAAAGAGTCACAAATTGTTTTCCCACAGAGTTTTCTTCATGTTTATTTAGTTTTCTCAATGTTTGTCATTTTTTAGTTTATAAAATGTTGTAAAAATTATAGAGACAAAACTTTGAATCAGCATTGATAATTATCGGATAATTATGAAAGAAAATCATTATTTCGATAAATTCAAACCTTTCCTTTTTATGCCTCAGTAAAAGTAGTCGAGCAGCTACAATTTTTCCATTTTCTCTGCCAGTTGCACTTGAAAAGATTACACAACTGTAAAACATACTGTAAATAAATTGAGCCCATCAAATGCAAAACAACTTATAATTTGCTTACAATGTTGCAGTTGAAACTGACAGCATGCAGTTGTTGCAATGTGGATTGTGCAGAAGCTGAGTGCAAGTTGATATTAAAATGAAAGCTTCGTTGTTACTTGTTTTATTATTGTTACAGCATCAGCAGCATAATTAAAGCCAAAAATGAAAACATGCAGAGTGGATTAATCCATTATTATAATGTTACTGTACATGTGATATGCTTAAAAACTAATATATTATGTATTATTGCCCTATAAGGAATGTCTCTTTATTGTTATATTGTGAAATAGAAGATGATTTTCATGTACTGTACCAAAAATGGAAATAAACTATTTATAAATGTCAATTGGTGCTTCTGATTTTCAGACTAATGATTATCAAAAGAATCATCACACAACTGCAACCAGATCGCTGCAGTTGAAGTCCCAACTGCTCACAGTTGCATTCAAAACTGCAAACAGTTGAATATATTAACTGCACACATGCACTCTGTCTGATAACAGACTAAAGTATAACTACTAAACCCTATTTTTCATATTAATCTGGTCAGTCTGTCAAACAAACCTCATTTAAAGAACGCTTAGCACGCTTATACATAGAATTTGAGATATAATTTGGAGATATGATTTCAGCAGCCCAGCCGACATTATTTAGAGATTCTTCATCTAACAGCATCTTAGTAAATATGTCATCTCGTTTCTCCTCAGACAGTGCTTTGGAATCTGCACAACCAAGGTCCTTGAGAACTTTTGTTTGGTGAATTGGACAATAGGCCACTCCGTACACCATAGGACCTGGAAAATAAAAAAATATATATATAACATGAAAATATTTACAGAAAACCTAACCTTAAAAACAACACTCATAATAATTAACTTTGTTATGAATTTATTGTGATAACGTTTAATTACCGACTTACCTAATACTGGACCACGACCAGCTTCATCAACACCAAGCATACAAGCTTCAGATTTACAAACAGACGGAACTTTTGAACTGTTAACAAAATTCTTCGAATTCGTTTTAGACCTTAATAATTCCTGTAAGCCTTGTAGCGAATCCATCATCTAATTTATTAAATACTTGAATCGTCTTTAATAGTCAGTACTTATTATTAATAATAAATACAATAAACACACAAACAAAAGCACAGTGGCGCCAAATAAATATTTCCCGTTTTTTTAATTTTTACCATGCAAAGAACGATGGCATGGCTTACAGCCTAGTCTTATATACATTAAATTATTCAAATTAAGATTTTTTAACAAGGTGCTTTTTTTAAACTCGTTCGCATTGAAAGAATAATTATCAAGTGTCGATTTTGAAAACTTGATGAAACGAATATTCTTAACTTAAAAATGATCCCAAGCTAAAAATTTAATTTTTCTCCACTTTGATTGTAAAGTTTTATTTTTTTTTATTGCCGGCCATGGAAACAAAGACCTTCAGCCGAAAACATAAACGTTTAAATATTTCTGTAAGTATGGCCACCACAAAGAGGATAGGCAATTCGAGGCGGCGGCGTGCTTGAATTGACTCGGGATTCCTTAGAACGGGCCGATACGGGTATTTTAGTTCGAGATTCGTATAATTTCGCGTTTTAATCTCCGATTAAGGCACAATAGCACTATCCTATTCCACTTTAAACTAGATTTCACAAAATAATTGAAAGTCAAAATAAAAACGACACTTTTCCCTCCAAAAGGCCCAGAGCGAATCTGTAAATAGTTTCTCTACCAGTGTGGACAGCCCATTCCTAATATAATACCTACTGGAACAGGCAGAAAGACCCCAAATTCGATGTTTTATTATGTTTTGGACTGACTGACGAACCGACAATCCGACTGAAAAACTAAACATAAAAATTATTTACAAAACCTAGTTTTTCTTCTTCACGGTAGTAATATTTCCGAATCGACTATTTGTTCAATAATTAATGTCGAATTCGTTGGCGAAATTAAAATAAATAATACAAATTGAGCGTACCTACCGAAATTGCATTTTTTTTTCTCTTATCTAGGGTTCATTACATCTTTCTGATAGGTGCATTGGACGCCACCACCCGCGCCGACCATTTCGATGGCTTTCTTTCTCAAACGTGTATCTTATAAAGAGTGATTAATTGATTATTCAGGAGATGGCAAAATTTACTGTTTACTTTAAATTTCTTATCAAGGGGGTTAATTTGGATGCATTAATTTAAGAATATTCAATTCAATTCAATTCAATCGTTTATTGCATAGTCACATGTTAATAATATTAAAATTACAGTACATGTGACACCCTGTAAGGATGTTTTCAAAGAGAGTGGCGCTATACATATTAGGGGTTAAAGTATGAAATTGCCGTTTTATTGCAATAGGTTCTTTGAATTTTCATAGAATCTTCATGGTTTGAGGTTTTCGAATGAAACTTTTTTCAAATGGTTTCTGTGATTTTTTTTTTTAAATTTGAAACATTTGAATATCGACTTTCAATTGTTTTTGTTATTCAATTTAGACAAGAAAGATGGATACTGCGAAAATTCGAGTGATTTTTGAATACGAGTTCCGACGCGGAACTAACGCGGCAGAAACAGCCCGCAATATCAATGCTGCGTTTGGAGAGGGGTCTACTAATGAACGCACCGTGCGATTTTGGTTTAAACGCTTTCGTGATGGAAATTTCGACTTAAAGAACGAGCCACGAGGAAGACCGCCCACACAGGTGAATGACGATGAATTAAGAGAGATAGTGGAAGCCGATCCTAGTCAAACTACCCAGGAATTAGCGGCATGGTTTAACGTTACCTTACCCACAATATTGACTCACTTGCGTCAAATCAATAAAATAAAAAAATACGAAAAATGGGTGCCTCATGATTTGACTGATCTGCAGAAAGAAACGCGTGTTGAAACTTGTGTTGCCTTGTTGAACCGGTACAGAAATGAAGGAATATTGGATCGAATTGTAACATGTGATGAAAAGTGGATTCTTTATGATAACCGGAAAAGAAAAATGCAATGGCTGACCCCAGGTCAAATGCCACAACAGTGTCCTAAAGCAAAACTTACCAATAAAAAGGTAATGGTAACTGTTTGGTGGTCTCAGCATGGTGTTATTCACTATAGTTTTCTCCGATCTGGTCAAGCAATAACGGCAGATGTCTATTGTGCCGAACTCCGAACCATGTTGACAAAACTAGCAGTAAAACAGCCCCGACTCATGAATCGATCTTCACCATTATTGCTCCACGACAACGCGAGACCTCACACAGCACGAGAAACCATTTTGACCCTTCAGGAACTGCAGTTAGAAACCATTCGTCATCCTCCGTATTCACCAGACCTTGCTCCAACGGACTACCATTTTTTTCGTGATTTGGACAATTATCTACGTGACAAGAAGTTTTCTTCCCAGGAGGCAGTACAAAATGCTTTCACACAGTTTGTGCAGTCTAGATCGTCGGAGTTCTATCGCAAAGGCATTAATAACCTTCCCATTAGATGGCAGCAATGTATAGATAATAATGGCAACTATTTTGATTAAATAAATTTGTTAAAAATTTAAAAAATAAACAATTTAGATTTTCAGTACAAATCGGCAATTTCATGCTTTAACCCCTATTATTTTAAAAATAAGATAAAAATTATTACACAGTACTATTTCCTAATTGATACCACGCGAACAAAATGGTGTCTAGTAGGACTATATAATTTACACATTATGTTTCAACTCTGTACTAATTGATATAATTTTTGAAATAATTTTACCTACATACATTTATACACAGAAACATACAATTATAATTTTCTATTATTATTTCATATTAAATCATTTAAAAAAGGTCATCAAAAATATCATTAAAGTATTCTGTTATATTGTAATAACTCCTATCAATTAAGAGAGTTTTTAATTGTCTTTCAAAAGCCTTGGAATCCTGAGTGCATTTTTTCGGGAGATGGTTATATATATTTTTATTAACATTGAGTGGGGACCCGATGAATACAATTTCATTTTTGAAGGAGGTAATTTCAACTTGAACAGATTACGATTATTTCGTTTAACTGTTTTTACCGGCGAATACAAGTCAGAGTGTTTTTTAGTGAATGCGAAAATAGTTTTTACAAGATGTCATTTGGTCTACGTTTACGAATATTCTTATACACTTCTTTTGGAGAACAAAAATTTCTTGAACGTCCGTGCAGTTTCCCCAAAGGATGATCCCGTAGGAGATTCTAGAATGTGCATAAGCGTAGTAAGCTGCAAGTGCAGTTTTGTTATTCGTGAGTCGTTTTAATTTACTAAGGGCATATATACAGTATGATAATCTATTTGACAGTTTTAAAATATGCGGTTTCCAAGTAAGGTGCTTATCGATCTCTATACCCAGCTTGGTGGCCGAGTCTACAGTTTCAATTTTTGTTAAATTGTATGAATAATTTATGTCTAGTGGTGCTTTTTGGTATGGTTTAAATTCGAGTAATTTTGTCTTTTTAAGGTTTAATTGCAACTCATTTATGTCCAGCCATTTTGTAGTATTATCCAATGCGAGGTTCAGGTCTCTTATTAGCGCGTGGGTGTCTTTACAAGTCAATATTATGGAAATATCATCGGCAAACGAGACACAGAAATAACCCACATGTGGTGGAAGGTCATTTATATACACCAGGAAGAGAATACAGCCCAACACGCTTCCTTGTGGTATAGACCCTAATACTGGAGCTCGCTCAGATCTTATACGAGCAATTTTCCCCGTACTATAATCCGTGTTTTCCATTTCCACATATTGCAAACGATTTTCCAGGTATGAAAATAACCAGCGGTGAGCTATTCCTCTTATTCCCATTGCGTATAGATTTTGTAGCAAAATCTTATGATTTACCCTACCATATGCTTTGTTCATGTCAAGCAAGAGGCCGACTGCATATTCTTTATTATTGATAGAATGTAGTATTTTCTGTATATATTTATATACTGCCAACGAGGTAGATCTGTTCTTTCGGAAACCGTGCTGACTATCAAGTAGGATTTTAAATTTCTCAAAAAAGGAACAAAGTCGGTTTGACATGGCTTAGGTGAAAGCTAGTGTGTGAATAAGAAGGAAATGTCACGTGAAATCAGCCAGCAAACTTTGTATATACCTACAATTCATTTTTTGCATTTCAGTAACTTTGTGTTTTAAGATACGAGTTTGAGAAAGTAAGGAGACAATTTGTCGGTCTACCTTCAAACTCGATCCGAGTTATATTTTTTTCAACTCGAATTACTCTAGTTGACTAAACTGCTGGCTCGAGTTGCAACTCCAGTTAACTCGACTCGGTGTCTGACAGAGAAATCGCGAGTCGCGAGTTAAACTCGAACCGACGATTCACCAAGTTGGACACGATCGGCCGGCCGACCGCGACTCGAGTGTGCTCCGAAGGTTGCCGAACCGACCGCCGAGTGGAAACGAGTAGACGATGCGCTGTTATGAATGAAATATTCAGCTCGGACGGCGGGGCGGGTACCGAACCGAGTTAGTTCGAGGTCATAAAAAAGTAACTCGAGTTGACTGGCTGTGGGAGTAACCCGAGTTAATCGAGTAAACTCGAATCACCCATCGCCACTTTAAACCCTAAAATAAAAGAGCCACAATACCGCATAGTGACAATCAATTTACTTTTAAAAAATATAATAATTATAGGATATATTTTTCATGTAGATAGCTCTTTAATAATATTACTTATATAATCTTTTAGTACTACTAAACAGATTTTTTTCGAACAATTTTGTGTTTGAAAACTTAGAATCGACTACACTACAGTAGGTACGAAACTCTAGTTTTATTTCGCGAACATGTCGACAAGAACTTTAGTTGTTTTTTTTTTAACGTCACGTCAATGACAAAGACGCATCCGTAAAGAGCAGTGCAGTGCATAGCATAATATTTTTAGATGTAGAAAATAGGTGCGACCGCTTATTTGTTTCCAAAATCGTACACATAAGGTAAATATGTATTCCGTTATTTATTATTAATTCATGGTGGGTCAAGATTCCAGACGAGTAATCACTAAAAACTAATTTATAGGTTAGAGTAGTGCGATAATATGCAGAACAACCCCCAGGAGCTCTCATGGCAAGCGATTCAGGCTATCGTGGGGGTTAAGCTGCCTTCCAATGTGCTGCGCTTTGACGATATCGGGTTCAACAATTCCGCCTCGAGTGACGATTCCGATTCAGATGTGGAAATTGTCGAAAATGACTGGGAGTCCGACAACAACGTATCTACAAAGCCCGAACTCTCGGACAACGAGAAAAATACATCCCCGGATAGGGCCCAGAGTGAATCGCCTGTTCTACATCTCGTAGAGCCTGACAATAATAATTCAGGTAAAAACTCATTATATCAAGACTATTTACAGAAAATTGATACCAAAGATGTAACAGAGAATGACCAAAATCAGATGAATAATGATGATGCAGATAGTTCTAATGGAAATGTGATGTCGATCGAAAACTACTTAGAAGTGACTCTGTCAACTGACTCTGAGGCTAGTCACGTATGCAGCCGGTGCAACCAAATGTTTCCCAGTGAGCAGCTGCTCTCGGCGCACAGCTGCAGTGCCAAACCCACCGAGGAGAAAAAGTTCCCTTGTCACGTATGTGCAGAGAAGTTTACAAGTTACTGGGAACTTCGGAAACATATGAACACTCACTTCCCAGGAATGTTAGACTCTAAATCCAGCTTTTGCCACCTTTGCCAGAAAGACTACACTAAAACAGGCTTCATGAACCACCTCCGGAAACACACAGGCGAACGGCCTTTTGTATGTGAATTGTGCCACAAGGCATTTTCACAGTCCAGCTCACTCTCCATTCACATGAAGTTCCACCTCAATGTGCGCAAACATTGTTGTACTGTATGTGAGAAAAAGTTTGTAACTAAAAGTGAACTGTCTCGTCATATGACAGTCCACACTAAACAGAAGTCCTATTATTGTGGAGTATGTGATAAAGCTTTTACACGCTCTGACAACATGAAGAAGCATGAGAAAACTCATGGTTGAAATACTATAGTAATGTAGGGCTCTAACAAGTGAACAGCATCATGGAATGTAGTCGAAAAACATATATGTCAACTAAATTTAGTTAATTTTATTGTAAATGAGAATTTATCTATTTATTTTACAATTTTGTGTGATGCTTTTCACTGAGTTTTCAGATTCTCCATTTGCCAAAACCTTAGTCATAGCGTTTGCTTATTCTAATTTTGCATTGATTTTATACCAAATTGAAGAATATGATCTAGTTCATAAATTTAGTCAATAATGGTGTGTTTGAGTGTTTCGCTCTAGTGTGCTGCTGTAGTTGCTTTTAAGGGTTTTATTTATGCGATTTTAATTATGCATGTTTGGATAGGTTTACTAGGGAAATGCCGTAACAGGTGCTTTAATATAATGTCACATATCTTGATCCAAAGTTGCCTTTTTAGATACGATAAAGTGATATATATACATAAGAGTATAGGTCAAAAGTCCAAAGATTCCGATAGCTGTAACATATTTACACTAGGTAAAGGAAAAGTACTGTCTTGAGGCCTTCTGTTAAATATTGTCACAAATTGTTCCTGCTTCTCTCTAAGAGCTTTAATAAGTACTATCAAAGATTAATAATAATATTTTTGTATACCTTTATTTTAAGGTATTAAAGTACCAGTTGTGAACTAAACACACTTTGCCAAATTTTAGATGTAGAGTTCAACTGACTGTTTTACTGTGTTGAAGTAACCAAAGCAATAATTAATTTACATAAGTTAAAATACACGTCACATTTAATACACTTGACATTGAGGTTGATCATAATTTATTAGGTATATGAATTCTGTTGTAAGTGTTTCAGATTTTATAAAGTCTGATTTTTAGCTAATTGGAAATATAGTCAATTGCAACACAATTTAAAGAATTCATTCAATGGTCTCAAAAACAATAATTAGTTATCATAAATTCGAACAATTAAGATGTTTAAGTTAAGTATAATCTAATTGTAAGCTAACACAAAAATTGTATTCTATACATCACAAATACTTTTACAATGGAAGATAAGAAGTAATGAACTTTTGAAATCATCTTCTATAAACTGTTGCCTAATTGGAATTTAACATTTACATTGTAAGAAACTGCAAACTGCCTTACACAGGCTAGCCTTAAGATTGAAATCCAAAGATATTAATATTTTATTAATTGGCTATTGACCAAAGCTATTTTTATATTTCGATTGTGCCACTTTTCGATTTTATAAACTGGTTGTACCAACCCCTTAGAATTTTAATGACCTAGTTTTATTTTTTAGAAATAAGGAATAATCATATATTTTAATATATTTATTATATTTAATTATAGAGGTTTAACTGCATGACTTGTTTATAGAGGTAAGGAAGTAAAATTGAGCCAAAAGGGAAAAATTACAAAAAAATAATCTACAAGACTGACAATAATATTCAGAGTAGATATTAACTTGCACAAAGGAAGCCTGTTATTTATTAATACCTAATGGTACTTTGCAATTTTGTAATTATTTATCGAAACTGCACTTTGTTATCAACTCATCATGACAATTAGAATAAGTTCCGTTTGATATGAATTATGAACTGTTTTATGGGAAATGTAATTATCTATGTCAATTATTAAAGAGTTGTTTGTTGCAAATTATGTTTTATTTTGGCTACTAAATAGGTCGTTTTTCCCTTTGTTCTAGGTTACAGTAGCGATGTCGGCAAGGTTGCGTAATCTTAATCCGTATGAATTGCATAAACACCTAGTTAATGTGTATAGTCTGAATACTAAAGGCTCGACGAGCCTTCTGATGCGGGACACTTCTCAGGATCGAACAGATCTCGATGTCATCCGGGAAAACCACAAGTTTTTGTGGGAAGAAGACGAAGTGGTAGATTCCTGGGAGAAACAATTAGCCAAGAAATATTACGATAAGCTCTTCAAGGAGTACTGCATTTGCGATTTAACTCGATATAAAGAAAATAAAGTAAGTTTTCACTTGTAATATCATAACTCTACATCCACGGTTTTTTACTTCCGTGCTTTTATGATTTTCTTCTAAAACGGGTATATTAGAAGTAGGTATGTTACCGAGGCTTCCTACAGTTCACATATTTAGATAGATATATGCGTTGTTGATTAGTGAGTAGTGAATAACGGACATATTTAGTTAATTAGATATCTGTTTACACCATTTTATGTTTAGAGTCATTTGTTTACGGAGTAGTTAACAAAGCCTTTATGTAAACAATCACATATGTATACTTAATCACCTTTAGGCTGTAACCAAATACATGAGTAGATAAATATGTAGGTACCTAGACCACTACCTACATTGTCTAACAATGGAATATTCGTTGAAACGGCCCATCGGAAATGTTAAATTGTTGTATACATTTGAATGCATAGCAAAGGCAACATTGAAAGTAATTTATGTGAGTTTTGCTCTCCCCTAACTTTATAAGCCTGAGATGGGGTCCGTTCCCCTCTCTGAATTGCCTTTTTTGCCTGAGAGACCTTTCTTTGTGTGATATACTGGGGTGTGCGCACAATGGCCGTGGTGCCTTTAGTAGGCTAAATATAGCGTGGCATCCCGCAGCCCGCTCTGACGGTAGCGCTCGCATCTGCTCTGCGCGCGCGCCGGACTTTAGCCGAAGGTTCAATGAGATTGTGTAACGGATAAAATACTTGGCAGGCTTCTCTGTTCTGCCTATTTATAGTTACGTTTGGCTTATTTTAAACCGTCGTCGGTCGGATGATGCGTGGAACCGTTTTATAGAACAGCCATTCTCGGCAGGCGTGCGCAGTTTCCGTAAATAAATCTAGGCCCTTTTTAAAAACTTTGGGATCTGAATGTATGTTTTTAGCATTAACCTATAACGCATTTGATAGAAAATATACAGTTACCACAGTACCCACAACAATATCGTATGTTAGAGACTTACAAAATCAAAAGTTTTCGAAGTTTACAGGAATGCAGTTACTCTCTTTTGAATGTTCAATCTGGTTTTACCATACCTTTACCGATTTACTACTACATGTGTAGTGTTTAATAACTGTTTGCCGATAGATCTCCCTTACATCAGTAGTGTTATGTTCGCTTAACATGAATAATGGGATTTTACCATTTCAGTAGCTACTTATAAATTCATCTTTTGCGAACATTCATTCTTATTCACCATAGTTATATTAGTAATTTAAAAGCTTTTATGTCAATTTCTTCATTGTCTAGCTACTTATAACCAAGTAATAAAGAACTATTTGGCAATTTCTCCAATCCCATTATACTTTACGCTAGGTGGCACTCCGATGGCGAGTGGAGAAAGAAGTAGTCATGGGCAAGGGGCAGTTCCAATGCGGCAATAAGCACTGTAACAGCGATCAGGGGCTGCGCTCCTGGGAGGTCAACTTTGCCTATTTGGAAGGGAAGGAGAAGAAAAACGCTTTGGTTAAATTACGTAAGTCCGTCGAATTTGTAATAGTATTGGGATGTTACAAAAAGACCTATAAAATTGTTTTTAATTTCTCTCCTCGTAAGTAGTCTTCGTATTTTATATTCTTTCTTCTCATTCTTAAGTTTTCCTGAAACTTTCGACAAGAAGCATATATGTCGAAGTATCGTCCTTTCCCATCTCTGTAGGTACCTAATTCCGTCAGTTACAGTTATTAAGGTGTTTTACTGTCTGTACTGGAATAAGTTTATTCCGGCGGCACCAATTTTAATCTAGAGAACCACAACTCCTAGCTTGAATCTGATTGCACCGCCGGAATAAGCTTATTCCAGCGTGGAGAGTAAAACATCCTTATAACTTCAAAACGGTATAACGACTAAATCTAGTTTTTTACGACTAGAACCGAATAAATCACGACATTTTTAGTGTACTCAGATCTAAGCTAGGTGTTGTAGTTCTCGAGATGGAGAAATGGTGCCGCTGGAATAAGCTTATTACAGCATGGACAGTAAAACACGCTAATAACTTTTGAACGGCGGAGCAACTATATCGGCGGATATCTAGTTTTTTTTGCGACTAGAACCGACTAAATGGCGATTTTTTATCTGACTAGCCAAATATATAATAGCTAGATATTCGATCGCTAGATTTCATCCATTATTAAGTTCAACTCGGTTCATCCATTACCAAGTTCGTCCCTTTGTGTACGTACTTATCTGTCCTTCTACATTTGGACGTTACTATTTAACTTGTCCAACAGGTTTGTGTCCTGCTTGTTCAGATAAATTGAACTACAAGTCTAAAAAGCGCGAAGTAAAAAGGATGAAGAAGCGACAAAAGAAAAGAAAGAGCAGCAAAGACAGAGATAATTCTGATGAAGGAAGTAACATAGAAGAGGGTTCTTCACTTGAAACATTGCCTGAACCGTCCACATCAACAGCATCTGTTATAGAGACTACAGAAAACGTAGGAGATTCTTTGTGGAAAAAAGGTAAATTTTCATTGATGGTGTACCTTTCAAACACATATAAAGTAGCTTATGTGGGCTTCCTACAAAGTAATCATATCATAATTATTATGCTAGATGCGTAATGTATACTGTGTAATAGGCGTGAGATATTGAAAAGAAATAGTCTACAGTAGCTATACTAAAAATTTTTTTCCTTTGGGTCACATATACATACATATTAGCTATACAAGGGTCAATGTGTGTTACATTTTTGGGTGCTGACCTTTATTTAAGTTAGTGGCGACCGAATTTTACAATTACTCCCTACATAATAAAGAAAATGAAATATTATATCGAACAGTTCGACTCATCCGTAGAACAAAGATGTATGTGCAAGACTACTACTTGTTCTCAGGAAATAATACATTTTGTTCGTTCTTCTTCGCTGTGGATGTCAGATAGACCGTTGTTGTTAGATTTTATGCTATTTCCGAAACGAAATAAGATATATAAATTCTCAAAACACCTTTACATAGGCCTTAGTTTGAATAACGAAATTATTCTCGTAACGTGCTTATTTTCTTTTCGCTTTTTAATCACATTCGGACGGTTTATTTCAAAATTAGAGTGATATTTGATATTAAGACAAACTGTTTACTATTTTACACAAATCTGGTGTATAACTTTTTTTTGTTTCTTTAATAATTACAAAAACATTAACACGGTTTTACTTTGCACTCTTAGACTTAAACAGATTTGTATGAGTGTTTCAACTCCTCTAACATAATATGTAAAACAACAATTTTATTTAATGTAAACAATGTAAGAAAAAATATATAATAAAGGTATAACACAATTAATATTAACAAAATTGCTACATGCAAACCCATAGATTTAAAATAGCAGCTTCCTAATAAGAGTGTTTAGAGCACAAAAAAAAGCTTGACGGGCCACATGTTGAGTATGGCTGACCCACAGGATGTAGAACATAGGTTCCCAAACTTTTTGGCTCACGCCTACTTAGGTAAGATAAAAAAAATTTGACGCCCACCACCACACTAAATAATTGAAACACGTATTTTTTATATTAACAAAAAAAAACACAAGGGGAAAAATATACATATGTAGTAGTTTGTATAGATAATTCAGGTTTTTTTCAAATGCAGAGACGCCCCCTAGACGGCATCAACACCCCCTCAATCGCTTCCGAGGCCCTTGTCACCCCCCATGACGCGTTACCGCTCAGTGGGAGGTGGTAGGGATCACTTTGAGAAACTATGATATAGATCTGTTGTACAGCAATATAAGATGAAGTAGGTTAAATTCTTATCATCCACAAGATTTCAGTAATTTAATGTTTTCCAGCCGTACAAGAAACAGAAGAAAAAACCAGAGAGGAAGAATTCGAAGAGTATTTAGAAGACCTGTTGTTGTAAAATAAACAAACAATACTGTTAAATGGATTAATCATTTATTGCATTCTATAACACATCTATTTCGTGTAATTAGGTAAAAAAGTGGTATCACTATTGATATAAAAATGGCATCACTTTCTCAAACAATTTTACTGTGTTTTATCTATACTATACCTATTTATGCAACTCCATTCACACATTTCTTAATAAAAAATATGGAGTACCCAAAAGATGCAGTAAAATTCTGACACGAAACCCTTTAACATTTCTAGATTATTAAATTCTTTTTTACCACTTTACCCAGACAGTAGGTAATTTGTTTCATTGAAAGTCAACATTATACTCTTATTTTGCTTTCTAAAGTTATTTCAAGACTGCTCTTAATATCCTTATTACAGCGTTTTTAACTTCACCTGATTTGGTACAAACTTATAAATCGTAAACAAAATCCAAAACAGAGGGTATAAAAAATATATCATATTTAAAAAGATATACAAACATAACAATTATAATTCCCATAACTTTAAAACAAAACTCGATCAAATATTTCACGTAAAACTGAACTCGTCTATCAAAACAGAATTCTCATATAATAGATCAGATTCACATAATCGGTAAATCGTGCAAAAAACATGCAATCACAATTTCAAAATGCTTTATTTGTACCACACCATTACATATTTTGAAATGGTACCGACTTATTTACTGCGCTCCTGTTAATGTTAGCTTACTGTATACCAAAAAAATAGCCTCAAATTGTCAAAATTATTATTAAGATTTAAAAGTGCTAGTTACATTTTTTGATACTAAACAACTATTGTTACCATTAACTGCGTACGTTTCCAATACATGAGTTCGAACTTTAAAATAAATGGTAATCCCAGTGTGATTTCTAAAATGTATTTAAACAACGCGTATAACAGCGCCCTGATTATAACTGGGAGCTATTCGTAGATACTACGTAAAACATTAACAACAAGATTTTTGGAAGAGCACATTCCAATTCTATCATCCTTGACTGGTATAAGTCACACCAACCCGTTCTGGACTTTTAAAGTTAAAATTACTATAGTTATAACAATCGTTACTGCATTGATTAACGGAATAAAGATCAGAGTAAAGCTTACTTATTTTTTATTTATCTAGCTAGGCCGCATAGAACACCTGCTGTTCAAATTGAGCTGCGACAATGTTGAAATTGACTCGTTCTGCAACCAGAAAAGGGTATGAAGGTGCTTATTTCTTGACCTCCTCCTCGTCAGAGCAATCGTCGTCGTGCGTGTGCGTCAACTGACGAGGTGTTTCGGGCCTCGTGTGCGGTACCGAAGTCTGAAAGGAAATTTAAACAAAATACTTTATTAAAACTATTACATTTTGACATGAGAGTGGCAGACGATTACATTCCTTCGGTGCAGTTTCTTACCCTACAAGATAAGTCGACAAGATAAGTCTCGAGGTTGAGAAGCCAGTTTTTTCTCCACTATTTTAAAGGTATTTATAGATATTTATCTATTATTGGGTGACCGTCTAGTTTTTCATAAGTAAAGATCAAAGGACACTCATCAACAGCATCGATAGTTTACCCATATAGAAAGCAAGATAGTATAGAATGCCCATCTGAAATGCCTCATAAAAGTATTTCCCAATGGTTCAACTGCGGTAATCATCATCTTGGACCAATAGGCATTAACGTCATTACATTTTTTTAAATAATATACACTATATATACGGCAACACCTTTTCTTTTTTTATAGGCTTTAGGAATTTAATTATTGTGTGATCAAGGTTGGATCAGTTACCTCTTAAGCACAGAACAGAGGTCTCACAGTCTAATTAAATTCTATTACCTATTAACTGCCTCCGTGGCCGAACGGATACCATGCCGGACCGCCATGCAGAGGTCCCAGGTTCGATTCCCGGGGCCGGGAGAAATAGTTGTATGGCCTACAATTATTTCTTTCGTGAGTTTGGGTGTAATTTGTGGTTGTCTATGTGTGTGTCCATGGCACCCGCGACACAGGGTTTCCCTAGTGCGGGGCTATGTTGAGTGTGTGCGTTATTTATTTATTTATTATTTATAGATGACATATTCTTTAACTTTTTATATCACGGAACGATTTATTACAGGTAAGTTTTGTTCAAAATGGCTCATCTTGTAGAGTTTAGATAGAGTCAGGGGTAATAAAAGACTGAACGCTGTGGTTTCACTGCACCTTAAGACCTCAGTACTAGGAATGAAATAGAGGCATTTACCGTGCAGCGAAGCGCGATATAACTTTCTACACTTTGCAATTATTGCGTTACAGACTAGTCCGCAAGTTTAGTACATTTCATAATATGAATATTTTTTGCAATAGGCGTACGAAATATCGCATAAATCTTAAGATTTCATGGACAGTGACGGCGTTTACCGAAAATATCAGAAATAATAATACGGAGTACCCCGTTTCGCTATGTGGATCTCAAAAACTAACTTTAGCCTTTACAGTGCCATTTCCAAGTGCTTTGTGTGTAGTTGCTACCTAGTGTTTCTCCATAGAGATGTATCAATAGCGTACCGACAAAATTCAATGATTTACATGGAACATTTTATAATGAATCAATAATAATATATAACAATACGGCACAAAGAAATGTACGAACATTTTTATGTGCGGTACTATTTAAGTACTGTCCATGAATGAGTTAAGAATCGATACTACCTCAGCTCGAACTTAAACTTTTTCCCGTACTAATACGGTTCATTTTGCTTGGGTCGAGCGGCATCTGGCTTTATTTCGGAATTTGTTTTTTACAAACGAAATTAAAGCCATTTGAAAAATGAATATCGTATAGTGTAGTTCAGTAGATATAAAAAAAATCATTGGCATATTTAAAGTACCTATTAAAGTCAGCTGTTTTCTTGTAAAGTTTCGAGGTAAGTTTGTGTTTTTTTTCTGTCGTGAAAATTTTTAGGAATCGTGTTTTCACACCGTATAGTAATCAGTGCATATCCTCAATTTTGACACCCCTGTCCATAACAGTTGCAGTACCACTCAGAGCTTTAAATCACGAAGACCTAAGGGGCGCTGCCACTGCGCCCGTCACCCTGAGACATAAGTTGACAAATAGACTATTCAATTACCTACACATGTACTGAAGTAGCCTCACAATTTACACTTCGTATTTCACAAGAGCACTGACGACATAGTGATTATACTGATTATAATTACAAACTAGGTACCTGCAAAATTGTGCAAATCTAAATAATGATACAGTATTTATATGAAGGTATATATAATTACAGCTAAAAAAATAATATGATATACTACGAGGGTCATCGATATTTTGTAGTAGTAACTCTACGGATTACTCACTGGAGTAGGATGTAGTTATCGAGATAGAATAAAATGAGAATACAGTACCACTACATCCTGCTATTACATATACATGTTTTTTTTAAATTGTTGAACTCACCCGTAAGTCTTTTGCATGCTGAACGTTAAAGAAACAAAAATAAATTAGATTAATAAGAAATTATAGGTAATGAAAATATTTTTCGGATCTAAATCGCGTATATTTCTTTTTTCAAACAAACTAACGTTTGAGGACATTTTACAGGTGCCATGGACACGGCTCACTGACTGATTGAAATATTCGCAAGTTAGATCCGAAAAAATAGTTCCATTTCCAACGTGTAACAATCGGGAAACTGTAAAAACTCGATAATAAGAAAATAATTTTGTAAGTGTCAAGAAACTTAGTTTATTTCAATCTCGAAAAGTGTTGTTAGCAATTATGTTCTATTTTCTTATACATATATACACATGGCGACTTTTTGCAGCTGATTAAAAGTCACGCGTGTGTGTAAAGGTAGACGATTAGCTACTGCATCGCTATTGCATCGCGTTTGCATCGCTGTTAAAAGCCGCCGTGTGTAATCGCTTTTAGTCATACGATTTTATCATACGCCGTTGCCTATAGTTCTCTAAGAGTTGAGATTGCCCTTCACGTTGGCGAAATTTAAGATCAGTATGTAGTATAAGGCTTATCATGAGACCAAAGACAAGAGTTACTTTTAGTTCTCCTAACTGGAAATTTTGAATATTGACTTCACTACGAGGTACGTCTACATGAGTGACCATGACCATTGAAAGATGTGTCGTTGAGCACAAAATGTCTAACGAAGACAATTTGTGTAACCCGTATGCATCACGAAAATATATTGTGTAAACTTTTTAGTTCTTTTCTGCACAGAGAAATTTCTCTACCACTCTCTAAGCAGACCGAATGTTTATAGTGGTTTTATTTTTTCAGTTTTTGGCCACCATACTCACCGAAAATGTCTCGCGCCTATCTCTCCATTAGCAAATTACATACTACCAACCATTATCGTATCATTTTTTAAATCTGAGCATCAGTGTTATCAATTCTGATAGCAAACGTTCTCGAATGTTCGCGCTGGTTACCCCGAAAACCAATATATCTTTTATTAATTCTTCATTCGCAGTATTAAAATTACAGGACTGAGATAATCTACGCAACTCGAACACGTACTGATTGATTGTTTCACCTTCTTTTTGTTATCTTGAAAAAAAATTATGCCGCTCGACGGTTACATTTTTCTTGCATTTGAAATGGTCTTCCAATTTTTTCAAAGCACCTTCAACAGTCTTAATGTTTTCTTCTCCTTGTTCTAAGATTTCTTGGCACTGTTCACCAACTACGTGAAGAAATATGTTGTATTGAACATCTACAGGTTTTTTTAATAATTTCACACGCTTTTATATAAATTTCGTAGTTTCGTTTCCACTTTGTCCACATATCATTAAGACCGCCTGATAATAAATCCGCTGAAATGCCATTATAGCTGAATGATTGAGGCGGCGACAAAATACTTTCCATTGTTATTTATTCACAACCGTATAACCTTAACACTTTTTAAATCCTACCGACTGCGCCATGTAACGTGTAATGGAACGATGGTTGTTGGATACAGACTAGTTATTTTTTTTATACACAGTGCTAACAATTGGTAAATACCTTCAACGCAATAATAATGTAACAAGTGTTGGTGTTTTAGAATTAATAGCGATACATTGTACTTTATTACCGCAGATAAAACTAAATTATCGTAAAAACTTAACGATTGCCTAATTTTATTATTTATTTATAAAGCATTGGCTATAAAGCCATCAGCTTCAAAATATGGAAAAGAAACTATTTTTCTTATTTTTCTATTTAAATCGCGTATATTTGTTTTGTCTAACAAACCTAAGAACTCGATATGACAAAGAATTAAGAAACTCAAAACGTACGTGTAAGAAATTGACCACGAATCCCGCATTTTTTTAGGATTGTCAATTTTTTTTTTAATTTGTTGGTTTTGGTAACAAGTTAACCAACAAAATTTTTAAGATTGTTTAATTATTTATTTGTTGAGCATTGGCTATAGAGCCATCAGCTTAAACATGCAACAAAGGATTAAGAAACTTAAAACGCAATAATACTTAAAATTAAAAATTAATTCGTGAAAAAACTGTAACTACAAAAACCCGCCATTATAAGATTGTTTAAAGCCCCAATGTGATTTACGTCAAGAAAATCATATGATTTTGTTGTATGGAACAAAGACAATATACAAGAATATCGCTGCAATTTATTTACGACATATACGCTACATGAATGGATACTGTACAGTGTACAGGGACCTCCGAAAAATTTCAATTTGTATGTTATTTTTAATTTTTTCATGACCATTTTTCGTCCTTTGTAAATATTTTCGTAGTTTTATTTATTATTATTATTTCTTACATTGTTGTATTTAGGTTTAGGTTGTCCACTTTTTATTATTTCGTTTTATGTGGTGGTCTTGGTTGGCTACACTAAAGCTCAATAAGTTAAAAAAAAAAACGGAGCTAGTGCTGTCTCACGCCCTATTACCAGTTTGTTGTGAACGACATGAAAAATATTTAGTAATTTTCAAGCGCTGCGCAGAGAACTTTTCGGCTGTAGTAGCGATTTTATCTTCCTGTCATCTTACGATTTAAATAGAGTCATTTTGTGGTAAAGAAGAACAAGGTTTTCATCTTTTCAATGTGCGCAAATTTTGCTATTTCCCCTCATGCTAAGCCTGCAGGTACGCAAGACTCGATGTAACAAAAAGACGTACAACCTAGCTATTGCTTAGGTACTAATATGCTTTCCTGGCGTTTTAGATTACAAAGAGATATAAGTACGTAATATCTTTGTGTAACCATACGGATGTAATAAACAACTCCCACCCTATAAGGACTAATACTAAAGTCTTTTGGGATTGTTTTGAAATTTTAAAGCCAAATACTAACCTTAGATTCCACTGGGTGCATGACGTTTTTGTCGGAGACCTTTGTTAATTGTTCTGTTTCCTCAGATGTTGTGTCCTCGTCATGCAAACCGACAGCGTTGTAAGCTCGCGTCTGGTGTGCGGGACCTCTCGATCTGTCAGCAATTATTGCAACTGTTATTTTATACCTAAATAAATAATACAACGATAGTTGCTGTCAGCAATTATTGCAACTGTTATTTTATACCTAAATAAATAATACAACGATAGTTGTACAATGCTAATAGAGTTCTAATGCTAATAGAGCACAGTTGTGCTCGGTTATGCACTTGTAACATTACAAAAAATACAGGCTTAATCATCAACCCATTATATATCCCACTACCGGGTACGGGTCTTCTCCAAAAGGAGGTTTAAGCCAATGTCCGCCACGCAGGCTCAATGCGAGTTGGGGTCTTCACACATTTTCCAAGGGTTGTGAGCAGGGTTTGAAATTATAATTATCGTTGATAATTAATTATGATGATAATTATCCTTGATATGATTATCTTGATATTTATAAAATTGGAACGACAAAATGAGACGTGTCAAGTGTCTATCTCAAAAAAATCACTAACAATCGTTTTCCCAAAGATTTTTCTTCGTATTAGAAACTAAATATCTCACTGTTCACTTTTAGTCAAAAATTAATGACACAAAACTATGAATTAGCATGGATAATAGTAATACTAATAATAGTAATTACTATTGGATATATGGGATAATTGTCAGATAATGATTAAAGAAAGTAAATATCTCGATAATTTCGAACGCTGGTTCTGAGTTATTTCGACATGCAGGTTTCATCACGATGTTTTCCTTCAACGGTAATGAGAGATATTGCTACCAAACATTAACAAATATATCTCTCTCGATAATTATGATGTGCCAGACAACCACACTTATCGCTACTTCCAATGTGTTCTACACCAATTTAATTTTTTGACCTGTTCTATTTTTATTTTGTTTTTGTTTCTTTTTTTCACATAATTCGGGGAACATAATATTAGTAAACAAATGTGGCTGTTTACTAAAATAACAGAAAATTACCGAAAAATAAAGTTGGCGTAGTGTTTCATAGGAGGTATCGCAATTGCCTGGTCTCAAACTAGGGAATCCCCTGTACTGTGAGTGTCAAAATAACGGAATTAATTCACTCTGTGGCGCTTCCCAGAACAAGTCTATTTCCAATATTGGTCCTACCAGCATTCAAAATTGGTCCTACCAGGAACTCCAGGCCTCCTCATCCAGCCCTCATAGTGAACCGTTAGACCACCGAGAGCGTTGTGATTGAAAAACAACTATTCTTCCACAGGGCTATCACAATTAGCGACAACGAGATGTTAATGTTTTTCTTTAAAAAAAAAAGCTGTTTTACACCAAGTGACAGAACACATAAGTCGTGCGCCTGGTGTTAAGCGACACGCCTGTCCATACGCACTTGCAGTGCCACTCAGAGCTTTAAATCGAAGATCATCATGAAGAATCAAAGATTTGAGGGACACTGCCACTGCGCCTGTAAAACACCAGCAACCTTACCCTTCAAACCGAAACATAGTAATGCTTACATTACTTCTTGGCGGCAGAAATAGGTAAAGTGGCAGTAATTCTCTGAACGAACTCTTTTACAAGGAGCTCTACTGCTAATAAACCTAACCTGTCTATAGCAGGTGAGTCGATGGTGAAATGTTGTTCGTGCGCAACGGTGGACTCGTGAGGCATGAGCATAGCGGGCGCGCGGAACATGTAGCAGAACGGGTAGTACATCAAGTTCAGGAGTGACGCCGCATACAGGTCCGCGTACCTAACGACCTGGAACAGAAATAATAGGGTCACAGATACATAGTACAGATACCTAATCTCATACAAAGAAATGTCGTACTCATACCTCCGCATATTCGGACGTCTGTACTGATTCTTAACGTGATCAATAGATGGTACCAAGTAAACCCACAATGCGATTGTAATAACATTCGAAAAAGCCAACAGATGGCAGCTACTACATTTTTGTCAAGATTATTGCTCTTGTTCAGGCGTTGATTATATTACATTCATAATATATGCATAATTAAATCTCAAAGAAGTTGAGTCAATAATTTTAATATTTCAAAATAATTGTAAAGAGGGTACCTCAGAAGTGGCCCCATTTAAATTTGAAGAAAGTATTCCACCTGTA